TGATAGATGCCCTTTCGAAAACAGGAGCAGCAGCTTGACACATACATGAAAGTAGGCAGAGCAGGCCCGTCGTGGTGGCGTGTGCCTTTAATCCCAGCACTGAAGCACAGAGAAACAAAGACAGAAGGAGTTTAGTGCTGCTCAGGGGCATGTTTCCTGCTGTACAGGATGTGCAGGGCTGGGAAGCAGAGTCCATACTTACCGTGAAATACAGCTTTGTGCCTCTCCATATAAAAGCTCTGAGATTTAAATATTTATGACCTGTATCCTCTTTAACCTTCCTGCCACTACCCATAATCTCTTTCCTGGATTGGATTTTCCTGCACTGATGTCAGTCCTCAGCTCTGCCCCATTGGTGATAGTCAGAAGGAAATGTGAACATGTTCTTTGCTTTTCCTACCACCCATTAAAGCAATTCAGCTTCCTTAGATAAACACATAATCCTATAGCCAACCCCTGCCGGTCCGTCATTCAGAGACTGTTCTGTAGCATCCGGGGATGGCTCCACAGAGTGGAGGGCTCTAAGGTGAATTCTGTGGATCTTGTAAATAGTCATGCATTTCAGGATTGCCTGCCAAACAGACTGGCATAGGCTGGAGTCAGAACTGACAGCTGGCTGGGCGGTGGTGGCGCCCGCCTTTAATCCCAGGGAGGCAGAGGCAGGTGGATCTCTGTGAGTTCGAGGCCAGCCTGGTCTACAAGAGTTCGTTTCAGGACAGGCACCAAAGCTTCAGAGACAGCCTGTCTCGAAAAACAAGAACAACAACAAATAAACTGATAGCTGCTCTTTTCAGGATAGAAGGAGTGAGTTCTCTGGTACAGAACACCATAGCAAAACTTCGCCTGAAGAAATTGTTCAGTGGTGTCTTCATCAATGTCACCCCTCAGACTGTAAGAATGCTGCGTACAGTGGAGCCTTATGTGACCTGGGGGTGAGTACAGTTTTCCATGTGAGTTCCCTTGTACTTTGAGTGTTTGAGACACACGGGATATTGTTTTCGTAAGGTTTGTGTTGTGTTGGGCATTTTGCTGTGGTCACTCACCAGAAATAAAGAACCTTGGGGTATGAGGCAGCAGTGATGCTGATGGTGGTCTTTACAGAGTCAAGTCAGGACTTAGAAAGTGAAGATCAGAGAGGGTAACACCCAGGCCTAAGTAAGTCAGTGCCTATGTGACAGTAGTGGTCTTTGCTGGGTGGTGACTCAGACCTCTAATCCCAGCACTTGGGAGGCAGAGGCAGTGAGGTTGCTGTGGATTCCTGGTCAGCCTGAGCTAAGCTGTAAGACTCTTTCTCAAAGAAACCAGTGCAAATTTAGAGCTTGGTGCCTCAGGCCATAATCCCTATGAACCAAAGGCTGAGGCAGGAGGATTGCTGCAAGTTTGAGGCCAGCATAGGCCATAAGAATAAGACCAAGTCTCAAAAAAAATCTAAATGTCTAATTATATACTCAGGCCCACTCTAGGATTTTCAGTTGGCAGGTGGGTTGATTTGCTCTTAGCTTGAGTCAAGACATTGCTGGGCAACCCAAGCCCAGTTCAGACTCACTGCACCCAGGTTGTAGGACGTTGGGGTGAGAGGACCTTTACCTCTCATCAGCCAGTGTGATGCAGGATGCTCTACTGTGCCTTACATAGATTTCCAAATCTGAAATCTGTCCGGGAACTCATCTTGAAACGTGGACAAGCGAAGATTAACAATAAGACTGTCCCTCTAACCGACAACACGGTGATTGAGGAGCACCTGGGTGAGTGCTGCTGCTGAGGCCAGCAGGGGTGTTGGTGGCTGTGGCTTGACCAGGGTGTGTTCTTGGGCTTTACAGGCCCCTCTGTCATGGGAGCACTGGCCTGATGGTGAACAACGAAATCTACACCTTTTATTTCTCAGGGAGATTTGGTGTCATTTGCCTGGAAGACCTCATCCATGAAATTGCCTTCCCGGGGAAGCATTTCCAGGCAATCTCTTCATTCTTGTGCCCATTCCACCTCTCTGTGGCCCGTCACGCTACCAAGAACAGAGTGGGGTTCCTCAAGGAGATGGGCTCTCCTGGCTATCGGGGTGAACGCATCAATCAGCTCATCCGCCAGCTGAACTAAACTGGGACCAGGTGCGACTCTGCTGCAGATTGCTCTCGCTCCCTCCCTCCTTCCCTCCCTGCCCCTCCCCACCATGCTCATGTGGAGGTCAAGGACAGTGTGGGAAGGGGGAGTTGGTTCTTTCCTCCCATTCCTGAAAGATCAAAGCAGTTTGTCTTGGTGACAAAAAGCCTTTCTTACTGAGCCATCTTGTCAGCCCTTGGTCTGACTTTTGATGGTTCATGCTTGTCCATTAAAAGTCCCTGTGAGATGTAGGTATAATTAGTGGTAAGAACTAGCATCACTGGAATACAAGTTCTTGTGTGTGCCAGTCCTTTAGAGTTGTGTTCAAATGGGAATGCGCATGCTTACCTGGGAAGGGTCAAGGCCTGATGACGACATGAATCCCTGACTGTTAGGTTACAGCTAGAAAACTGTTGCTGTTGCTAGAAAAGCTGTTGTGTTGAAAGGGTCTTACCCTGGTTGATCATTTGTGTTGCTGCTGCCCTTGCTTTCCACACCAGGTCCATTGTCTGCCTTGATGCAGTTGTGCTTTCCTTCCCTAGGATTTCCAGAAGGCAGTGCATTGAAGTGTGCATTTGTTAATTAAAATTATCAATGTCTTCAAAGAAGACTATTTTCTGCCTTCAAAACCTGGAAGTGGTCGGCAGAAAGACAACAGGGTGTGAGCATTGGAAACCTCAGCACAGCCCCGTTTCATGGAAAAGGAAGTTCTCCACAGTGGCTGCCCCTGCTCCTGAATCAATGCAGGCCTTGGAGGAAAGAGTTGCCCTACTTTGTCCTGTCTGATATCTTGGTGTTTAATGTTGGGTGGGCAAATAATCCAAACATCCCTCCTACCCCTTCCAGTTCTCGGAAGGCCATGGTCCAGACCCAGGGGCATACTTGAGTCTGGAAAAAGAAACTCTTGTTTCTTACTTGTATTGTGTTTTTTGTCAGCACCGGTGTCTTTGTTTGTTGTTTGTTTAGGACAGGGTCTCACTGTGTAAATCCAGCTCACCTTAAACTCCATAGCAATCCTGCCTCATCCTCCTAATGCTGAGGTTATAGGTGTGTGCGCCCCCAGCCTGGGAACTTACACTTCAGACAGAAGTAGCGAAAGCTTTGCCTAGTCTGTGCTGTGAGGCCATGTTGCAACTTCAGTGTCAGCTTTGGTCAGGCTTGCCTGTCCCTGAGTCAGTGATGGCATTTGTACCCTGACCAGTTTAAGACGGGTTCTCTACGCTACGAAGACACACACGCTCCCACTGTGCTGGATCTCTGTAGTGGTGACACCCTCTTGGCACCAGGCCTCTTCTATGAGGATGCATATGAGTGAGCATTCTGTTGTAGAGGAGATTAAAGTTTAGCCTCGCTGCACTGGGCCTGGTAGGTAGCCCTTTAATCCCAGTGCTTGGGAGCAGAGGCAGTAGAGCTCCTCAGCTCAAGGACACACACAAACCAACCTCCTCCTCATCAGCCTTTCCTTACAACCCACACAGGGCTTCACATTCTTAACAGTTCCTTCCCTTGGGCTTTCCTGGAACCTCACTGTGAAGCTGAGTTAGAAAGGGGCTGGAGAGATGGCTCGGAGGTTAAGAGCATTGCCTGTTCTTCCAAAGGTCCTGAGTTCAATTCCCAGCAACCACATGGTGGCTCACAACCATCTGTAATGAGGTCTGGTGTCCTCTTCTGGCCTGCAGGCATACACACAGACAGAATATTGTATACATAATAAATAAATAAATATTTTTAAAAAAGAGGAAAACATTTTAACAGTGCCTCAATGCATGCTGGTTACAAGGTCGGCGGGGCCCAGAATCTGCCAGAGGACATGTAACTCTGCTGCTGTAGAGCACTGGGAGATGAGGGAACACATGAAGTGCTCGCCTACTACGTGAGGCCCTGAGATCTACGCTAAGGGAGCATGGCTTCCGTTTCTGGCCTACACGGTGGAGCTAGTATCTTCCCAAGTGTCTGCCTTGCTCAGAATTTAAAGCAAGTTTTTAAAATAAAAGATTATTTTAAGGTTTATTGTGTGTGAATAACCATCTGTAATAAGGTCTGGTGCCCTCTTCTGGCCTGCAGGCATACACACAGATAGAAAAAAAAAGTACATACACAGATAGAAAAAAAAAGTACATTATCAGGAACAGGTGTTAGACATAAAGCATCCTTAGAAGAGGAAATCTATTTATCTTTATTTTATGTGCATTGGTGTGAAGGTGTCAGATGCCCTGGAACTGGATTTTAAGACAGTTGTGAGCTGCCATGTGGATGCTGGGAATTGAACCCGGGTCCTCTGGAAGAACTGTCAGTGCTCTTAACCGCTGAGCCATCTCTCCAGCCCCATAGAAGAGGAAATCTTGTCCTTGGGAATGTAAACCTCAGACAAGTGGTTTCATCTTACGAATAGAAAGTTTCTGTCTCATCGCTATCATGGCCCTTCCTCTTCCTTACCCTTTATTTCATCTAGTGACCAAATATACCTAATCATTCTCTGCACCTGTTGAAATATACTTTTTAGTACCTTCTTATGCAGCAGACACCATGGGGGTTGGGATCTAGCAAGCCTATCCATAAAGTTCAAAGTAACATTCTTTGTCCATCAACATTAACCCATCTATTCCCTTGCTCATCATACACCCTGTGTATGACAAAGGTTCTGCTGTAGTCTTATACATTCCCATACTGTGCTTCCCTATCCCAGAGCTGTTCCTGAAGAGATATTCCTTGTCTTGTAGATACATAGAATATCATTATTATAAAAGAGATTGTGCAAAGCCCATATCCTGCATAGCCAGCTACTCGAGAAACCTGTCTATGCCCCAAGGGCAGCTAATACCAGGCCATCTGCCATTGACCTCCAGGAAGCCTAGTCCCATAGGACACGTAGCTCCCATCTGGTATAATGACATATGTCACACAGATGACACTGGAGTTGGTGTGGGGATTACATTGCCCTTGCTATTTTAGTCATTTATTTAGTCATAAATAAACCATGGATACACTTCATGGCTCTACCTTGCTGCCAGTGGAGAATGTAGTGAGCCACCGGGCCTGTTTGAAAGACTGGGCTGGGCAGTGGTGGCAACTGGGAGGTAGAGACAGGCGGATCTCCAAGTTCAAGGCCAGCCTGGTCTACACAGAGTGAGTTCCAGGACAGGCTCCAACACTACAGAGACAGCGGTTTCGTAAAAACAAAGACTGCTTGGAAGCCTGGTGTGCTGATGCATACCCCTAATCCCAGCACTCAGGAGGCAGAGGCTGTTCTGGAAGAGTGAGTTCAAGGCCAACCATTGCTGTGTTGAGAGACCCTCTCAAACGCAATTTCAGGGACCCTGAGCATGGGTCAGTCAGTGGCTACGACCTCAGCCAGCTCCAGCATCTGACACCTACCACTCTCTGGTAGAGAGCATTGGCGCTGTCCTTCCCGCACCTACAAGACAGTTGATAACTCTAATTGTAACTTTGGCGATGGCTCAGTAGGTAAGGTTCCTGCTGCCAAGCCAGAGCTTGATTACGACCCTGGATTTCTAGGATTTGTTGTCGCTCAGTTTTGAGTAGGGGGTCCGGGTGGGGGTGACGCCCCCCCCTTTAATCCCAGCACTCAGGAGGCCAGGCTGGTCTAGGACAGCAAGGGCTACACAGAAACCGTGTCTCAAAAAATATGAATTTCACTTGCATCATTTAGAAAATCGAGTTCTATCATAAAACCCAACATTAGAAATGACTTGGCTCTCTGGTTTACTTTATCAGTACCATCTGAAGGTGGCCCGTTACAGTGAGCAGGTGGTAAAACAGACTTGTTTCAATTACACAGAACATGGTATGCAGTTGAGATTCAGCGTCCAAACCAAAATTCCTGGGCAGCATTCAGTCTCCCGGGAAGACTGGGTCCGGCTGAGACAGGTCAGAGCAGAAGCAGAAAGATGAGTAAAGGAGGCAGCTGTCCAGATCCTCAGGTTCGTGCAGGATCCAGTCATGCCCTCCGGATCTCGGCTCCGAAAGCCCTGGAGCTCAGGAATCCGCTGGGCCTCCGACACGCTGGGCCGCTGGGCTGCCAGGGGCCGGTACCCCCACGGTCGGGGACTGCGTGCACGAATCTAGGTTGGTGGTGCGGGGCGATACGGCCGAGCTTGCGTCCTCCCAGGGCTTGGGCCTCCGCGGAAGCAGCGACGCCGTCGGTTCGCCGTGGGTGGCAGTAATGTGGCGTTTTTCCAGACCCGGCAGCTCCTGGCCCTCCTGGACCAGCTGCAGGAGCTGCGCCAGGGTCACCGAGGTCTGAGCCAGTTCGGCGGAAGGCGGTGCTCTGCTAGGGCTGCCGACAGAAGTCCGCAGCTCCATGTCCCGCCACCAGTTCAACCCCGGGACCGGACCACAAGCTCTTCCGTGAGATATGGGAGCAACCATCTTCACGAAAAGGGGGGGGGGGGGGCTCAGACTGTACCAAAGGGTCTAGCCCAGGTTAGATCTCCAGAACCCGAGCTGTTCCTGCCGAAGCTGCAGACTCAGTTAACCCCCAGCTCACATCCCAGGAGCTAGGAAGGAAGGAAAAGATAAAATCACACTTCCCTTGTGCACAGGCTGCAGCAGGACCTGCTGAGTGTTTTTTTTTTTTGGTTTTTGGAGACAGGGTTTCTCTGTGGCTTTGGAGCCTGTCCTGGAACTAGCTCTGTAGACCAGGCTGGTCTCGAACTCACAGAGATCCGCCTGCCTCTGCCTCCCGAGTGCTGGGATTAAAGGCGTGCGCCACCATCGCCCGGCTTCTGCTGAGTGTTTGTATTTGAGACTGAGCCTCAGTCAGTGGTCCAGGCTGTGTTTCTGTCTGCCGCTCCCAACCGCGTGCTCTCTCTTTATATTTCTTTTGGTAATTGTGGTACTAAGGATCAAATCCCACGGGTTGGTTGGTTTGTTTTTTGCTGTTGCTTGGGTGTTTGTTGCCTGCTTTGGTATTGAGACAAGGACTCTCACTGTCTCCCACAGTGTCTCTGAGCTACACATCTGGCTCTGATGATCAGGTTTCTAAAGTCATCAAAGCTAGTCTGAATAGGATGCCGTGGCCTGTAACACCATATGCCCAGGCCGTGGAGCCAGCCTGGGCTACATACTGAAAGAGGTTAATAAATAATAAATAGCTTAGTCTGGCACCCCCCAAAAATCAGTAAGTAACACAAAACTGGCGGAATTTAAAAAGGACACAGCGCACGCCTTTAATCCCAGCACTCGGGAGGCAGAGGCAGGCGGATCTCTGTGAGTTCGAGGCCAGCCCGGTCTACAAGACAGGAACCAAAAGCTACGGAGAAACTCTGTCTCGAAAAACCAAAAAAAAAAAAAAAAAGGACACAGCCTGACTACCCTCACCCTAAGCAACCTATGAAGCCACCAGGAGGCTAAGATGATTCAGCAGGTAGGACTGTGCAACTTTATCCCCAGCCCCATGGTTTTTTCAAGGTCTCATGTAGGCAAGGCTAGCCTTGAACTTACAATATATCACGAGGTAGTCTTGATTTTTTTTCAGTGTGTGTGTGGTGAGGACACACAATGTACATGCGTGTGGAGGTGGATATCAGAGTCATTCTCTACCGTTCTTCTGCCTTATTTAATGATGTAGAGCCTCTCAAACAAACCTAGAGCTTGCCGATATGGCTAGTCTCTTTAGCCAGTTTGCTCTAGGGATCCCGTGTCTTAATTGGGGCTTCTATTGCTCCAATGAAACACCATGACCAAAAAGCAGGTTGGGCAGGAAAAGGTTTATTCAGCTTAAACTTCCACATTGCTGTTTGTCACTGAAGGAATTCAGGATGGGAACTCAAACGGGGCTGGAGAAATGGCTCAGCAGTTAAGAGCACTGGCTGCTCTTCCAATGGTGCTGAGTTCAATTTCCAGCAACCACATGGTGTCTCACAACCATCTGTAATGAGATCTGGTGCCTTCTGGCCTGCAGCATACACACAGACAGAATATTGTATACATAATAAATAAATAAACAAAGCAAAGAAAACCAGCCTACAAATCACAATCCTAGAGAACTTAGACAATAATGAGGACACTAAGAGAGACTTACATAGATTTAATCTACATGGGAAGTAGAATAAGACAAGATTTCCTGAGTAAATTGGGAGCATGGAGACCTTGGAGGAGGGTTGAAGGGGAGGGGAGAGACAGGGAGGGAAGCAGAGAAAAATGTAGAGCTCAATAAAAATCAATAAAAAAAAAATGTAGAGGTGAGCAGGGGGATAGTGGCACACGCCTTTAATCCCAGCACTTGGAAGGTAGAGGGCTACAAAGCAACAAAGCTACACAGACAAACCCTGTCTTGGAAAGAAAGAAAGAAAGAAAGGAAGGAAGGAAGGAAGGTAGAGGTGAGCCACATGTGGCTCATGCTTGTAATCCTAGCACATGGAGAGGTTGAGGCAGGAGAATAGTAGTCTAAGGCCAGCCTGGGCAACACAGCAAGATGTCTCAAGTGGAGGGGGGCAATAGAGGGGGAAGGGAGGGAAAAAGAAAGAAGAGAAGGGAAGGGAGGGGAGAAGGCCGAAGAGATGGCTCAGTAGTTAGAGCATCGCCCAGCAAGCATGAGGACCCGAGTTCGAATCCCTAGACCTTCCTACAAATTGGATATGGGGACTAGAGAGATGACCCAGAAGTTAAGAGCACTGACTGCTCATCCAGAGGTCCTGAGTTCAATTCCCACAACCATATGGTGGCTCACAGCCATCTATGATGAGATCTGGTGCCCTCTTCTGGCCTGCAGGCAGAACACTGTATACATAGTAAAAAAGCCTTTTTTAAAAAGTCGGGTGTATGGTAGCATGTGTCTAGATTCCTAGTGACCCTAGGCAACATGGGAGGTGGAAACAGTAGAATCATGGAAGCCTGTGGAACTAACCTGGAGTGAGAAATGCAGACGACAAGAGAAACCTGTGTTAAACAAGGTGGAGGGTGAGGGTGGACATCTGACTCATTCATGTGTGTTCTGTGCACACACACGTGTGCACACTTACATCATATATGACCATACATACACACATACATAAATACACACATACATACAATACACATCCCCTAAAAGAGAGAAGGAAGGAAAGGAAAAGAGGCAAGGGGAGGACTGCCAGCATCCTTGCCTTGCTCTGACGATCGGAGTTGCTGGACAGGTCAGTTGCACCGGACTCCCAGTCTGGACAACGTTACTGTCATCTGGTCATGTGGAAGCCAAAGACAGGTAGTGGGGTTGCCTAGCACACCCAAGGCCCTTGGCAGCTTGCTAGAATAAATACCCTCAGTGATGTAATTTGGTTTTCCTCAGCCTGGGGCTCCTCAGCTGGGTTTGTGAGCTGCCTGGGTCTCTGGGCCAACCTGCAAGTGACAGGCTCATGCCAGTGTATCCAGGCATCCTTATTTGCCCTGGGCAAAGTTCTTGAGAACAACAAGATTGTGGGAGCAGGGATTGCTTCCGGAGCTTCAAGAGAGAGGAAAGATGTGAAGATAGGCAGGGAAAGCAGGTCCAAGAGGGAGGCAGGAGCTGGGCTGGGTGCGGGGTCGCCAGCAGCGCTAGGGCTGCGAATGCCCCCCCTCCCGCTTGAGTCCCCTAAAGGTGTCCCCAGGGCCCTCTCCCATCTGCAGTGTGGTCACAGAGCCTGAGCCAGCACTTCCTCCAGTCTGGAGAACGCAGAGACAGAGTCGTTAAGGACACCTGCCTCCCCTCCTCCCACTCCCAGGCGGGAAGCCACTGCAGCTGCACCTGGGCACAGCAGGGCCTGGGAACACGTGGAACCCACAGCACCCAAGGCTGCCCCTGGGTCCCTGCACAGAGCCAGGAGAGGGCAGGCAAGTGGCCATTAAAACTGCCCTTGAGGCACAATGACAAAGGTGGGGTGAGGCTGGCGCAAGAATATAGACGAGGAAGAAATAAAGCCACGCGCAGAAGAGACACCAAACTGTAATGAGGAGCCGTCGAGGGGCAGGAAGGGCTATTCAGCAAGTAATTCTGGGTAATTAATTAGTTCTTTGGAAAACCTGTGTACTTAACACACCTCAAAGTGATCTCCCTCCGGGGAGAGAAGGCGGAGTGGGTGTGATTGCCCTCTCCAATAAAGACCATCATTTTTCTTTCCTTCTTTGAGGTTGGGCAGTCATGGCTGGCCTGGAGCCCTCTGACCTACTGAGGTAGCACAACCTCGCCTGTGCTCAGCTCCAGTAGAGAGCAGAACTGGAAAGAAATACATTCTCTAGCTGGGGCGGGCTTTCTAGGCTTAAAATCCACTTACTGGTCCCTAAAAAAACAACAAAAAACTGTAGGTTTGAAAAAAGAGGGAAGGCATCAGCACTCTGGATGTGGTGGCTCGTGAGTTGGAGTTCAAGGCTATCCTGGGTACATGAGCTCCTTCTTTGCCATTTGCCTTTTTAAAAAAAAAAAAATAATAATAATGGATAGAGGGTTTCTCTGTGTGGCCCTGACTGTACTAGAACTCACTTCGTAGACAAGGCTGGCCTCCAACTCACAGAGATCCACCTGCCTCTGCCGGAGTTTAAAGGGGTGCGCCACCACTCCCTTTCTAAATAATCAAGGCCTTTATTCTCCATATTACCAAACACTAGATATATGCAACAAAACTGTTGTAACAGGGTGCCAGACCTCAGGTCTCCAGACTGACTCCATGTTGGAAGTGCCATGGTAAAGCTCAGCATGTAGACAGCACCTGCCAAAATGAAAACAAAGACCTAACCTGTCCAGTCTATAGCTCTGAAAAAGTCTCAAAATGTACTGACTTTGCTTCTTGACTTCTGCAGTTCCTCGTCTGGCCGACTGTTCCCGACAACTGAAGTATGTCAGCCCAGGACGTGGTTTTTGTGCTGAAAAGCTCCCCTGAGAAAGGCACCATTAAACCGGGATCCAGAACACCTGGTATAGTTGCTGGTCAGCTAATAAAAACGTTTTTTTCTTTTTGAATTTTTTTCCTCATCTTACATACCAACCATAATTCCCCCTCCCTCACCTCCTCCCTTTACCCCCATACCTTCCTCCCAACCCCCCAGCCATTCCTTAGAAAGGGTAAGGCCTCCCATGGGGAGTCAACAAAGCCTGGCATATCTAGTTGAGGCAGGACCAAGCTCCTCCTCCCTGCATCAAGGCTGAGCAGGGCATCCCACCATAGGGATGGGCTCTAACAAGCTAGCTCATGCACCAGGGACAGATCCTAGTCCCACTCCAGACCAAGTCACACAACTGTCACCCACATGCAGAGGGCCTAGTTAGGACCCATGCAGGCTCCCCAGCTGTGGGTCCAGAGTCCTTGAGCTCCCACTAGCTCCTGTCAGCTGTCACTGCAGCTTTCCCCTTCATGAGCTTTCATTCATTTATTTATTTTTGGTTTTTCTTTTTTTTAAAAAATTATTTATTTATTATGTAT